TGAAATCAGCGTCCTCTCCACTTATAATCTGTAGTGTTAAATTGGCGCCGAGGGCCCCTCCCCCTCCACAAGCCACAGGCCCTTCCCGCCACTGCGCTTCCTGTTTTCACTCCGGTCCGCGAGTTCCCTATAAGGGCGAACTGCTGGCTGGGAAATGCTGTCAGTCGGATTTCTTCCTTCTGTCTAGCCATGTCTGGTCGCGGCAAGGGCGGGAAAGGCCTTGGCAAGGGCGGCGCCAAGCGCCACCGCAAGGTTCTCCGCGACAACATCCAGGGCATCACCAAGCCCGCCATCCGCCGCCTGGCCCGCCGTGGCGGAGTCAAGCGCATCTCCGGCCTCATCTACGAGGAGACCCGCGGGGTGCTGAAGGTGTTCCTGGAGAACGTGATCCGCGACGCGGTCACCTACACGGAGCACGCCAAGCGCAAGACCGTCACCGCCATGGACGTGGTCTACGCGCTCAAGCGCCAGGGCCGCACGCTCTACGGCTTCGGCGGCTGAGCTGCTCAACCAACCTCCCAGCTTTATTCTCTTAAAGGCCCTTTTCAGGGCCACCCACTCGACTCTCTTAAAGGGCTGTAGCATCCTGGCAAGTTCCGCTCTTTCCAGGATTTGGGGCTTACGTGGTTCGGTCGGCTACGTACTGGATCCTTCATTCACAGGGTCTCCTGTTGGTGGGGTGGGCAACAGGAGGGTCCCGAGAGAAGAAAGAAACATCCAGCCTTATTGTTTAGCTCGTGTGCGTCTCCTGTGTTCACGTCTTTGTCTAACTTCTGTGCGTTCAGTGTGAGGTACCCAGTTTGCTTTGGGTACCAAATGCAGCCCGTGTAGGGGTCCCTGGTGGGCCATTGCTACCGTAAAAAAGGCGGGAGGGCTTCCTTTATAGCAAAAGCTCCTTGCCTCAGGCGAGCCGTGGGTCCTTTTCCACTCTACCAGTGCGCCCCCTGCTGGCCGCCTGGGCTAACTAGCTTTGGTTTTTTTTTTTTGTTTGTTTTTTTTGGTGTTTTAGTTTTTTTAAAGAGGCCCTATCAGATACGTTACCCAACAGTTGGGTCAATCAGTCGTCCCATCTTGACACTGACCAGCTCTAAATTAGGTGAGGAAGATAAGCGCAACTGTCGGGAAAGGAACTGGCTTTTCCCGGCTTCCCGGTGTCCGCGCAGGATCTGCTTTCTCCCGGGTGTGTCAGTTGCAAGCGTGTTTTTCCTCACCCCGGATAAATACCTCTCTTAGCTTTTGGTTTCTGGCGGCTGCTGCTGTTTAACGCTGCCACTGCTACCTAGGAATTTTTCATTAGCATATAGGCAAGGGGCACAAAGTGATTGATTACAAAGTATGATCTCATGTTAGAGTGGTCACCCAGGTGTGACCTGCTTTTTTACAAAGGAAAAACCACAGAACGTACCCTGGAAAGTCCTTGATTGTCTGTTGGCCAGCCAGGTGTGACCCCAAAGAGGGTTGTCTTGGCGATTATAGGATGTTTCCGGGGTTGGGGCCAACTTCCTTGGTCTGTGGGAAACTTTTTCTCTCTGTGAACTAAATTTTTTTTTTTTTTTTTTTTTTTTTTTTTTTTTTTTTTTTTTCCCCCCGGAAGGGGATCCCCCGAGATAGGGTTTCTCTATGGCTTTGGAGGCTGTCCTGGAACTAGCTCTTGTAGACCAGGCTGGTCTCAAACTCACAGAGATCCACCTGCCTCTGCCTCCCTAGTGCTGGGATTAAAGGCATGTGCCATCAACGCCCGGGGAACTAAAATCTTTTAAAACTTTTTCTCTCAGCAAACTAAAATCTTTCAACTGAAACTGATAGAAGAGAAAGTAGGAAGCAGCCTTGAATGCATTGGCACAGAAGATGGCTTCCTGAACAGGAGACCAGTAACACGGACACTAAGTCCAGAACTTAATAAATGGGACCTCATGAATTTGAAAAGCTTCTGTAAGGCAAAGGACACTGTCAATAGGAGAAAACAGCAGCCTACAGAATGGGAAAAGATCTTCATCAACCTTACATCTGACAGAGGGCTAATTTCCAAAATATATAAAGAACTCAAGAAAATAGACATGAAAAAATCAAATAATCCAATTTAAAAATAGGATACAGATATACACTGAGAAATCTCAACAGAGGAATCTCAAATGGCTGAGAAACAGTTAAAGAAATGCTCAACATCCTTAGCCATCAGGAAATGCAAATCAAAATGTATTTTTTTTCCGAGACAGGGTTTCTGTGTATTGCTTTGGAGCTGGCCTCTATGTAGACCAGGCTGGCCTTGAACTCACAGAGATCCGCCTGCCTCTGCCTCCCGAAAGCTGGGATTAAAGGCATGTGCCACCACAGCATGGACAAAATATAATTTAAGGAAAGTGGTGCACTCCCTCTGTGATGTTTTGTAAGTAGATAGGGATGAAGGAGCAGGCTTCAGATTTCTGCATTGATCAGTGACAATTTTCTTATTCCATTCTTCTTTCTATATCTACCTGTTTATTCCCATCTGAGGTCTCAGATCTGAGTTTTGTTTTCCTTCTGGAGCCTGCTGTGACATGCCATCTTTAACAATCAAGTTTATTACTTATCTTCCTGCCCTCTTATGCCCGATAGCAAAGATAAAGAAAAGAAGGCCAGAGAAGCTGAAGAGGTCCACCAGATATGACCTCTTAGAACAATGTAGTGTGCTTTATATGTATCCATCATGTTTAAACATAAAAATATATACAGGTATACCACACACAAAAATTGGTGCACAAGAAAAAGACACCATTCAACAGGGTTCAAACAGAGGGTTTTTTTTGTTTTTTTGTTTGTTTTGTTTTGTTTTGTTTTTTTGCTTCTGTTTTTGTTTTAAATTAGGGAAAGGGATCATAAAAAGGGGGAAGAGGAGGGAGGAGACCAGCCTCTGGTGACAGGAGCATTAGGAGAGAGGAGAGAGGAAAAGGGTGGAGAGAAAGGAGGAGAGAGGGAAAGAGAGACAGAGAGAGGGAGAGAAAGAGAGAGAGAATGGGAGGTGGGCAGGGCCCTTTTAAAGGGGAACATAGTGAATATGCACAGGTGGTGCTCTTAGTGGCTGCCCTGAGAACGCATCATGTCAGAACCCCAAAGACAGTTCAGTACAGATACCTGAATACTAATATTCCTCCCTTTTTATTTATTATAAAAAGGTGAGGAGTTAGAAAGGGGTAGCAGGTAAGGCGGGAATGAATACTTGGTGTTCTCAAGAGTACTTCCTGCTGATATGGGGGACGTTGTTCATCTTTGGGGGACCTGAGAAAGCTGGGGTGCTAGCCATGTCCTGGAGTAGCTGGTTGTTTCATTTCACTGTCTAGGCTCTTGTGAACCATCAGGTGCATCCTGGACCTGGAAAAATGCCATTCCTGGTAGATCCAAATTGACTCCCTAAGAAAAGCAGTGCTCGAGAGAAAGATGGCATGCAATGGGGTTCAAGCAGAGGGGTATTTTCATTAGGGGAAAGGATCATAAAAGGGGCAAAGGGGTGGGGAGAGCAGCTTCCAGGGACAGGAGCAGTAGGAGAGAGAAAAGAGGGACAGCGAGAGAGGAACAGACAGAGGGAGAAAAAGAAAGAGAGAGAGAAGAATGGGAAGGAACAGGGCCCTCTTAAAAGGGAACATAGGTGGTGCTCTTAGTGGCTGCAGCTGAGGGTTTATCCTGTCAGAACCCCAAGGACAGGCTGCTAGATGCCTGAATACTAGCATTCTTCCTTTTATATTTATTATAAAAAGGCAAGGAATTATAAAGGGGGAGAAGGTGGGGCTGAGATGAGGACTCTGTGTTCTCGAGACTACTTCCTGCTGATCTGGGGGACATAATTCATCTTCAAGGGACCTGAAAAAGTTAGGGTGCTAGCCATGTCCTGGAGTAGCTGGCTGTTTCATTTCAGTTTCCAGGCTCTATGGAATTGTCAGGCAACACCTGGACCTGACAAAATGTCATGCTTGGTGGATCCAAGTCGACTCCCAGGGGCTTAAAGAACCTGATCCTTTCCCATCACCACAGCATCACCCGGACACATTCAGTAGTCTTGTGCCTTCAGCTCTGTGGCCAACAGCTGGTAGTCCTGCAACAGTAACTGATTAGGAATGGTCAGTGGGTCTCCAAAAAACATCCTAATGGGAGCAAGGAGGTATAGATGATGGCACATCTCCCATGAGTGAGAAAGAGAAGTAATACGAAGGGTCTACAATTCCTAGCATCCCAGGAATTCAGACAGGGTCAATTTTGAGACAGGGACAGGCCTCCCAGTAAGTTGTCAAGCAAAGTGTGGGGGCTAAGGGCTCTGAGCCCAAGAAACACAGCCACATGGTACCAGGACTTCGAGAAAAGCCACAAGACAAGAAAAAGACTGTGATCAAGAAAGGAATCCTCACATCCAAGGGAATGGTCAGAAATGGATAACCCCACTAGATACTCAATTGTTGGTACTGAATGGAAGGCAAAGCCATCAGAGAATGGAAAAGCAGATTTGTTGAAGGCAGGTCGAAGACAGGGGATCTATTGAGGGTGGAGCAGGTGGGTAGGGTCCCAGTGTGAAGTGGTTACAAAGTATTGAGAAGCAGATTTTTTGTAGGCTTATTCCCTATGAGTGAGGTAGAACAAGAACCAATGGCTTTTATTAAGCAAGAAAGGCACAAGCTGCCTGGCTGATTCATCAAACAAGGGGTGGGGCCAAAGGACCTGACCACCTGTCAGATGGCTAAGATCAAAAACACTGATAACAGCCTATGTTGGAAAGGATATGAAGCAAGGGGAATACTCCTACATTGCTGGTTAGAGTGCAAACTTGTACAGCTACTTTGGAAATCAATATATCTGGTGGTTTCTCAGCAAATTGGGAATAGATCTACCTAAGATCCAGTCATACCACTCCTGGAGATAGAACCAAAGGATGCTCCATCATACCACAAGGACACCTGTTCAGCTATGTTCATAGCAACTTTATTTGCAATAGCAAGAATGTCCCTCAGTCAACAAATGGATAAAAATAAATGTAATATGATGGCAAATGTACTTCTGTGTATGTTCATCTTATTGATTGTTGAATAAAGTACTATTTGGCCAATGAGGCAGCAAGTTAGATGGGACTAGGAGTCAAAGAGGATTCTGGGAAATGTAGTAGAGAAGTGGTGATCCAGGCAGGCAGCAACATAGTAAGGAGACTCATATTTAAGGAAGGACAAGCAGGAAGTGGCCCTATTCTCCTCTCTTCCTCCAGATTCACGATGTGATCCACTGGCAAGGGAGGATGCCAATGGAAGGTGCCCGATAAGTCTTATAAAATATATAGATTTATGATAATTAAGACTGAGCTAGCAGATGAGAAATCCTAGTCATTGGCCAAGCAGCATTTGTATATTATACAAATGTAATATAATACATTTGTATATAATACAAATATAATATAATAATTTGTGTACTATTTGGGGCCCTAACTCGGCAGGCAGAACTCAGGCATCTGGCATAAAGTACACGTGTGGCTGTGGGGCTCTGGTGGCTTTTGTCAGAAAGATTTATCATAACAGTAATACATTTATATAATGCAGTATTAC